CCTCCAATTTCCATTATTCTGGTTGTAAATGGGGCCGATTTGAATCAAAATTTACACGCTATATACACCAACTTCCCAAAAGGTACGAAACGCTTACAGTATTTTGGCAGGGTGTGAATTGACAAAGTCATAAAAAAGCAGTCATGAGCAATTTTCTGAACGCTAGATTACGGTAGATATACTGTAGTCGGGGTAAAACAAGTCTAGTGAGTCCAATTACCATCTCAATTCCATGATGACCAGTAGCACATTGCAATTAGCCAGCCACTCCGGGCATCGTAACTGCTGCCCAGCCCCCCCCCCCCCCCGCTGGGAAAAAGTCACGAAACTCTTTAAAATTGCGTGAATGCTTTTTTCGTACTTGTAAATTGTAAACTGTCAAAATCTTCTATGAATACAAATTTTTGAGTATATGCGCAGAATTTTTGAAAGTATTCCAAAAAATTTTCGAAGGGCCACCGACTATTTCATGTTTGATTGCAAGATAAATTTGCAAAAGCTTGAGATGTCCTGATCCTGAATAAACCTTTTTGGCTGATTCCATAGTAATCTTCAAATACCGATAACTCTGCAAGTTTTGAATTATTTGGAATTACAAGCTTCTCCAATTCTTGAGATAGCGAGAAGCCGCAAATGGAGCGATCTGAGAAGAACAGTAGGAAATCTCCTACCAAGATTTTTGTGTTAGTCCCAAACATACTTCACGCAATTTCAGTCGCGACGCGATTTGGCAGAATTCCAACTGCAGAAGTTACCGTGATCATTCTTCATGTACAGAAGATAGAGCAATCTACGAGACTTGTATACGCTATGCATTCGTGGCATGCGAACGTAAAATTTGAGAGATCTGGCAAATCGTCAGATCGTGGTCACTGAAATCGCGTGTAGTATAACCGCCAGAATATCGAAAGACTGCAATTTCCTCACTCTGGTCCAGAATTTTTGTAAAAGCCCAAAAGACTCATAAAGTATACGCTTGTTGCAATAACGCTATATTTTTTGAAAAACGCGCAGTCGCCCGCTTCATGTGACATCAACGTAGCGTGGCCATATCTCGCTTCAAGGGATGGGATCCAAGGGAACCGTTCGACTCAGCTCGGCACGGCTCATCTTCTGATATGTGGAAGTGCCCGCATGGTGCAGTAGGAGGTGAGATTCCAAGAATTGAAAGAGATTTTTTCTTACGGTAGGTTGCCCAGTGAATGCAATGAATAAGCACACTGAGCAATCTACCTCAGCAAAAATCTGAGACCATTCGTAGAATCTGGCCTCCTACTGTGTCCAGACAGATACCGAAGCGAGATATGGCCACGGTACGGTGATGTCACATGAATCGGGCGACTGCGCGTCTTCCCCCCCCCCCCCCCCAAAAAACAACAAGCGGCATTGTATTCAAATGTATTCGAAATATGAAACAGCTGCTGTTTGTAGTTCGGGAAGCAGTGAGTATAGAATAGATATTCACCTATTTTACAAATTGGGGACTACGGCTGACCTATTCAGCCACCGAAGGGTGATTTGGATGATTGCCAGCGTTACAGTATACCGTTGCGCAACGTGACAATCTTATATATAAAGCTGAATGTCTGTTTGTCTGTCTGTCTGTATGTCTGTCTGTATGTCTGTCTGTCTGTATGTATGTACGTATGTTCCGAATAGAAATTTTTATCTCTGAACCGATTGGGACCAAACTTGGCACACATATACTTCAGGGCAGGGAGCGTGTCATAGGCTACTTTTCGTTATCGATCGATATCGATTTTATTGATTTTTTGCAAAATTCGAGCTAGAGGGCTGGGATTTGGCAGAGGGGGGTAATCGAGCATGCTGATCACCCCGAAGGGGTGATCAGCATGCTCGATTACCCCCCTGTGCAAAATCCTAGCCCCCTAGCTCAAATTTTGCAAAAAATCGGTAAAATCGACATCGATCGATAACGAAAAGTGGGCTGTGACACGCTCCCTGCCCCGAAGTGTATGTGTGCAAAGTTCGGTCCCAATCGGTTCAGAGATAAAAATTTCTATTCGGAACATACGTACACGGGTCTAGCTGGCAGGCCCGGCGGAGCCGGGCAAGCCAGCTAGTAGGACTATAAACAGTTCCTGCACAACAAATCGTCTCCTCATTGGTCGTTGGCAGCTATCCAAAAAGTACGGTTTTTGCATTACGTAGATCAGTTTTGTTGTCCAGATCATATTGTAGGGATTGCCCTTAGTGGAATTCGGGCATTTCAATTGTTCTGGTCAGTGCATTCATAATAAGAGTGTAAGCAGTATGGTAATTTGTATTTTTGAATAACATACAAAATTATTGCAAGTTTCAAAAGGGTGTTTGTTTGCACTGTAACAACATTCATAAGGTCAAACTAATTTTAACCTATAAGATGTAATTCAAATCATTTGCAAGTTCAAGAAAAAACCATTTCTTCAAGATGCCTACAAATAACGGGTAAGCTCCCCCCCCCCCCACCCCTGCTTTTCCAAGCCTCCCTATCCAAACTGACTCATCTAGAACCTCCTAAATTCCACAATTCAACCAGATTTTTTGTAAAAGTAACGCCATTCCTTATGAAGAACGATAAAACATGACATTAAAGAATAGTTTTTCTTGAAAAAAAAAGCTGAGAAAATGAAGCGTTTTGCAGATCATTGATTTTAGACTGCAAATTTGGCTAATTTTTCAAATGCTTTATCAACCTCACGAACCTAAACAGCTCCCAGTGATCACGATCTACTCGCAGAATAGTGAACGAAAAAACAGCAAACTGCATGTTTTTTCACTAGAGGAACGGGTAATAGAGTTCAAGATTACAATGCAAGGAGTTTACCCCAACAATTTAGCTTGGTGTGGAACCACTAACATTCTTCGGAATTTTTGCAGTGTTTTGTAACAAGTCCCGTAGAAGTGCCCGTTTTCGACCAGCTTGGAGAGAAAATCCCGCGAAAGTTCCCATTTTCAACGTTTCCACTTCTGTAATAGTAACCAAAATTTGTACTGCGGAACAGTTGCAAATTTTGCTTGTTCTGCGGAAATCTTTGTGAATTGTTTGAGTCAGTGCATTTTAATCCAACAACTGAGAAAGAAGGGTGAGTTTTTGAGGACGGCAAGAAAAATTACCGACCTCAGCTCTAGCTTTAGCAGCTCAGCTTTAAGTAGGTGGATTGAGCCTACCTCAACAGTGGCAAAAGGCTTATGAAATTTGCTGTTCCAGAGTCCACAAAAAATTTCCACTTCCATTTTTCTTGTTATTCTGGGGCCTTTCTGTGGATCTGGTTACAGGTATGAATTTGAAATTTGCTAAACCCCCAAACCGATTACTGGAGCCCTACCCAGAGAACATGGACGGCTTTCACTACCTGGGTGGGCGGAGCTTGATAGGATTAGGGAGTGGCTTGACAGCACTTTCATGGTTCCACGTCTATTATCTCCATTCAGAGACAACACTAGAAGACCGAACCGACGCAGGTGTCCCTCTTCTGGGATCTATATACAGATGGGTATAATTTGAGGGGTTAGGATTTGCATGGATATTGCCTCTAAACTCTTTTTGTTATGCATTGACTAGCACAGTTATTCTTCTAGCCTTCCAATAGCTAAATTCAAGTACGTGAATATCCCCTAAGATTGTTGTAGAACAGATTCTCAAACACACTCCGCACTAAAACAAAAGTGCTAAGGAGTCGTATCAAATTTAATGAATTCTCTGATTCGTACTACGCGTCCTACTTGACATGCACTTCGAGCCAATTTCACGGAATTCTCTACAAAATACCCTTGAACAGTACTTTTAAGATCTATCATCCATTCATGGATATAAATAACAACAAAAGTTCATTGCACTTCGAAGCGCACTCACTTCCACTGCACTCTCCGTACAACGAACACATCACGTGCGCTGTGTGTGTGTGTTCGTTCTCATAGAACAGAACTCCGGAAACAGATTGCAAGTGAATGACGAGTGCAAGACGAGTTGGATTCGAGCCAATCCAGTCAGCGGCGTTTTGAGTTGCCCCCGTGCACTTGATTACGGTATGTGTTTTCAGTGATAATTGTTCGAGGACATGACAAAACACAACCAGCCGCAAGGGTCATCCCCGATGCTGCTGCTGTCGTTTCGACAGTTGCTAGGATGATGACAAATATTTGATTCGAGGAAGATGACCAGTTCCAGGAATATGGGGAAGGGATATTAATAATTCTGGGTTACTGTCATTTTGTAGCAATTGTTCTTTAAGACAACGTCCTGATGGGTAGATCACAATTCTAAAAAAATTCGAGTTGAACTTGTTCGATCCCCTTTTTGTTCGCGAAATATCGGCTTGTTCCCCATTTGCAAAATTTACACCGTTTATTAAGAAACTTAAGAAATGCATCTTTTATAACTTTGAAAATCGCGCCAATATTTTGGTCTACAAATTTCTGCAACCTCCAAATCACTTTCTCCACATAGAACTGCTCAACTTCTTTGTCAGAAGATTTATAAATAGGATCTTTATTGATTATTTTTCACTTCATCAACTTCTTTCTCCAGATATTTGCAACTCGCAGAGCTTATTCTCCACCTAAAAATGCTGATCTTCTCCATAATATTTATAGAAAACATTTTTCATCAAATATTTTCCAAACCATTACACCTAGTCGATTTGAATGGTTTGCTGATGATACTACCTAAACAACTTGGACTCAGTACCTTCTGGATTTTTCAAGATCCACAATTTTAAAGGGCAAGAAGGACTTGTGACAGTTTATTAAGAATAGGAAAAATATTCCTTCAAGATGTTGAGAGGGTAAGGGCATGCTTACAAGAAATATTTAACGGGACATAGTCCAAAAAAATTTTTTTGTATTTATTGATAAGATCCCATTCAGCAGCCTAAACGATGTGATTTCTCAGATTTTTGTTGTACGTATTCCTCTTCGAATGCACACAATTACACTTCACACCAAATTTTTTTTATACAAAATTAGACGATGGCAGTGGCAATACTTAGAAGATTTGCAACGAAAATTTGATACATCGCGAACATATAGAAGAAAAATTAAAACACCAGACTTATAAAATACTTTTAGAAGCTGACAGAAAAACGAGAAAATTTAAAGCATCAACAATACTCAACAAATGAAAAGAACCATGGAATTATATGATGATGAAGGAAAATGAAAAATGATCGTTAAAATGTGACACACAATTACAACGATAATACGTTATAAATGTATATGTATGTATAATTCCTGAATATTTGTGAGACTCACACACGTCAGACACGGAGTTGGTTTGTTTGCAAGAAAAAAATTCAAATAATTGGTTATATGGATTGGAAAATTATGTGAGATGTGTAAAATTCTAGCGATTAATTACGATACACGATTATGGGATATCTGGCGCGGGATACCGAAAAAGGGTTCAGTTTCTGGGAATGTTTCAGATTTGTGGAAAAAACCGGAGAGTTTTTGGTTGTTGACGGGTTAAGGTGAAGAGATTATGATGAGAATTTTTACAAATACATAATATAGATCAAAAATGGATAGATGGAGGAAATCAGCGCAACCATGTAAAGACACTGAGAAGAATAAAAAACAAGTCTCTTGGAGACGAGAAAGTAGCGGATCGAGGGGAGTGAGGGAAGTGGTGGCTGGTCTCGCACTGCTGCTGGAACTATCAGAAGCTATGGAACTCTATTCGATGCACAAGCACTTAGATACTAAGCAAAACTGCCACGGGGGAAGGAGGTCAGGGACCACGAAAACTCGCCCCGGGGGATCTATTCAGCAGTGACCAGCTCCCTGCAGATGGCAATATCCATCATTTCAGAGAACGATCTCTTCGGTGATCCGGCCGAAGTGTAGCCGCTATCGTTGTTGTTTTTTGGCGACGGGGACGAGTTGTCGTCCGTCGAATCAGCGGGCACGTAACCGTTCACCATACAGAATGCCGTCAACGCTTCCATCCCCTCGATCATCTCAGCATCCGATCCGCGTTGTTTACGCTGAAATTCTAGACGATAATACGATAACTAAATTCAGAGCCGGAAAAATTTTAGTGGAGAATTTTCCTTACTTAGGCAACTTGTGAAATCCACGAGAGATTTTCAGCCCTAGGCACACATTTGAGAGCAGGACGAGTTTTCAGGACGAGTTTTGCCGACGAGTCAGATGCGATCAGAGAGTCAGACACAGACAGAGATGTATGTATTGTATGTGTGTGTTTATAGGTCGTTTCAAGCACCCGAACGTGAGGAGCCACAGTTGTTACATTTCCCGCAGTGAAGTGAGACATACCGTAACCCGAGTGTGTGTCAAGCAGTGAGAGTAGGCGAACTTAGTATTATACACAAGAATGCAAGGCTTTCGAGTTCGAATGCAACGCTTTCGAGTTCAACGGCCAGCACTGAAATAGTATAATACAGCTTAGAGACACTTTATCGCGCTCTACAGTCAATCACATGCATCATTTTTGTCTATTAAAAACAGGGAGGAATGGGATTATACGGGAATTTAGAGTGAATTTGGCAAAAACAGCAGGTCCGTGAGGCACCGTCCACCCATATTGAGCGCGTTGAGATATCGATACTGGATAATAGCAAGGCCCCCAACTGAACAATCGCCCAAGTCTCGCTGCAGTAGATGGATTCCGGAGCGGGAAAACACGTCCAGAAGGTGAAGTTGGCTGGCTCCGCCCATCAAAGTGGCTAGTTGAAAATTACACCTCCGAAATTGAGTTTCAAGTTATACAGAAACGTCGGAAAGTCAATGATCATAATGAAAAGAGGATTTATTGCAGTTCTAGAACATTAGAGCCTAAGTTTGAACCTGTTTTGGGCCACCCACGTTGATGGGCGGAGCCAGCTTAACCGCTTCTACCTTCTAGAGCAGTTTTTTAGCTCTGGAGCTAATCTTTTGCAGCGAGACTTGAGTGACTGCTTAGTTAAGGGGTCCCGCTGTCTTATATCATCGAAATCTCATCACCCAAAATCTAAGTAGAAAATGCCTTAGTGATCGTTTTTTTTGTTGTCATGGGTCCAAAGTCCCCCATTTGGAAACGAGAAATCGATTCAGAAACTTGCCCAAAACAACGCTGATTCGCAAAACACAGACAATTGTGGCTTTTTTATCAGCGTGAGACTTTTTTCGGACCCCCCGTGCGTTGCCCCCACCTACATGAGAATCACGAAAACGAAAGTTTTTCAACATTTCGCAACGTGTTTCACAGTATGTCACACACAGCCAGCCACAATGTGTCGATAATGTTTATAGAGTGCACTTTTCACGTATCACCACACTTTAGAAGTGGGTAGGGGCAGGAGAAAACGGGGGGCCAGGTAGTGACGAAGAAAGAAACGGGGAAAAGGTCAGATTTTCTCCAAATTCAACCAGTCAAGTCGAAAAATTCAAAGGGCATTCGTGAAGAGATGATGATGACAGGTCTTTTGCCCTTTAAGTTCACGTTCTACAGATTCCTTAGGTAATCGGAAGAACTTTTCAAGGATGTGATTTTCAATGAACAGATTTTTTTGAAAATTTTTGTAAAATTCAAACAAAACGGTGAAAAAAATGAAAATTCAATATTTACCTGGTACTTGGGATGATGGCGGAAAGGTGAATCTGGCCCAATCGAATCGGGCAGATCCTCGTCACGAATGATTCGTCGCAGGACCGTCTTACTCGGCTCGTCCGGCTCTTCGATCAACTCGGCCAGACGATCCGGTGAGGCCCGCTTGGCCGGTGGTGGCGAGCTTGCGTTCAGCACTGAAGCTAAGAAAGAATTCATTCGATGTCCTACAAAGTTACAAAAGGCTCAGCTGACTTCATGGTCAGCTGAGAGCTCAGATCATTTATCACCTTTTGCAGCGTCCATTCGCAGTTTCTCGTCCAAATCCTTGGTCGGTTGCTGACGGATTTTGATCGGTGTGTCATCTTCTTCATCCATAAGCATTCGGAGCACACTACCTTCATTCTCTTCTTCTTGAGTCTTTCGCGATCGCTTGCGACGTCGTTCGGGTGAGTTCGTCTGCTGAAAATAGGTAAAATGAGCTTGGGATTTTGAAAGAGTGAAGATAAAATTAATTTATGTTGTGAAAACTAAACAAAAATTCCAAAAATCTGCTTCAAAAAGACCAAATGGGTTTTTAACTAGCGAATTACTGAAAAATTGATTTTAGCCCGAATTTATGTGGAGTATCAATATAAACAGCCCAAAAAAGTTTTTTGCATTTTTCCAAGCAAGTCCCAGACCAGAAAAAATTGGTATCGAAGAAATAGAACGCGATTTCCTATTGTTTTCGGTACAGAAAAAAAAAACAGAGCGGCCAAGAAACTAAATAGACAGATGCTGAATATTTTTCCCGTTTTTGTTCCTTGTATAAAGTTGCTCAAGAGGTCCATGCCCAGTACAATGCCGTGAAAATTAGTGTAGTGGACTTGAGAAAAACTAAGATATTTCAGGCCAAAAGGTAGACTACAGTACCCCAGACCACCTATACAATTTTTCAGTACATATTTTTACGCTGTTCACGATGACCTTCTTGTTATTCTCGAATTCCATGCTGCAGGACCTTTCCGTTCAAAACACGCATGTGCTCTACTGTGCGTGTGTGTCTCTGTCCATTTAGGCTCGTTTCAGGACTATTTACTTTAGAGAGCAAAGGGATATTCTCGATACCTTAGGACGCTGAAGGGCAGCCGCACTGGAGAAAGCTCTCGGACGGACATCTAACGCTGCTTGTGGAGTTAACGTTGTCCCTGAGGTACTTTGGCGCAACTGGAATAGAGAAGAGATGAGGATATTAGATAACAATAAGTGCAAAAGGGTTACGCAAGATGCGAGGAGCAGAGCAAAAAGGACTTACGTTAGTCATCAGTCCAAGACTTTCGATTGTGGAATGTGGTGGAAGGGCGGTGGTGCCCATAGGGCCCATTGGCAGTAGTGGGAACATTGGGAATCCTGAGAGTGGGAAGAGACCCAGTGAGAGAGCGGCTAGCTGATCGTTGGGGATCGGCGGGAAGAGCAAGCTCTGAGATGTGGGAATGGGATTCTCTGCATTTGGTCTGCTATCCTTGTTCTGAAGAAAAAATTAACTTTAACTCAACCTAATGAAGTATGGGTAAAGTCTAGTCCCAGACGAAGGCGGTTGCTCAAGTAAGCGAAGCGTGCGCGCGCTTACAAGCTCTAATAATGAAAGGCTCTTAAAAGCCGCGTTCGCACCCGCTTCGCGAGGTGAACCGACCGCCTTCGTTAAGGAACAGCCTCTATACAGGCGAATATGTTGACAACTTACCAAATTTTGCATACTGCTCATCAGAGAGAAATCAGGCATAGTCGCCAGAAGCGCTTGTAGATCAAGAGCAGTTGGTGCAATTGAGGACGATGTGGTAGGATTATTATTCATCCTGAAAAATTAAGGTATGATATTAGCCGGCGCATGGACAAATCATACACGAGCGAGGACGAGTTAACGCGATAGTGAGAGTATGGGCAGTGAAAGCGACAACTCGTCGAGATGAGGCGGGAAATGCGCGCGCGGCGCGTTTCGCTCTTGCGCTCGCAGGTCTCACACAGCAGAGTGTCGTCTATGAGAGAGTGACGATAGGGGGAGCAGAACGAGATGAGGGGCGTGGCAAACTCGCCCCTCCTCGTCTCGCGGAAGTACAGACGACGCACAAGCCCCGCACACACACACAGCAGAGGGGGAAAGTGCGAAAAACACTGACCTTTTAGGACATATTCACAAAAGACACAAACAGACAGCCACATACACACACACACCGCACTCATATATACAGTTGAGTCGAAGAGGAGAGATAGAGCGCAAGAGAGAATGTGGACGAGATATGCACTTGCGGTTGTGTGTTGAAGTGCAAACGAGGCACATACCGCAGAGCCTTTCACAAAATCTTTTCGATGACGCGCGTTTTGTGAAGTTTTTGGAAAAAATGTGATAGAACCCCGTGCAGACGAGAACGAGAGCTACACCCACGATGCTGTGACGATACAATTCGAGAACAGTTTACCTAGCAACGAATTCGCTTTGTTTAGAGACGACTAAGCAAAACAGTAGCGATACTTTCTATTGCTAATGAGAGAACCCAATGAACGCAATTTCTACTTCAAAGCTACGAAAATTTGGCTGACACATCCTTCTCGTGATTCTAATTCTATTCCTAACGTTTCAAAAGAACTACGACTGCTAGAAAACCCAATGCGAACTTTAAACCTAGTGCTAGGAAAAAATCTGAACGGAGGCAAAAACACTCCCTCACTAAAGAAATAAAAAAGATTTCTTGTTGACTCTAGAAATCAAAGTACGACTATTATAAAAAAAAGTTGGGGTGAAAAAATTTCTCTTGCCTACTTCGACGATGGAAAAGAAAACATTTCTTGACTTTGGAAATCAAAGTACGAGTTCTACAAAAAAAAACTCAAAAAATGTAATGAGGTTATTGCAGTAAGTTTTATTGAGCAACAAATTTTGTTTGCAACAAATTTATTTTTGCAGTCAAGAATTTTAATACAAAAAATCTGCAACTATTGCTGGTGTTTACTTACTTTTGAGCATTTATATTTCTGATTTAAAAAGATGACGATGCTATATTGAAACGAAATCCTATTTTTATTTTGAAAAAAAATTGGAATTAGACTGGGGCTTCGAATTTTATATGTTCTTACGCACTATTCATGAAGGCACACATGAAACTAAACAAGAAATATGTTGGAAAATGTAGGTCTTTTCATTTTTCTCATCTTTTCACAAAAAATGTAACGGAACACTTTTTCTACCTACGAAAAAAATATCTTGGATATAAAATGAGCTGGAGACTTTAATTCTCTTGCGATGCTGATGAAGTATAACCAAACCACAACAAAAATCTAATCAAATGTTTTTTATGGCTCAAAATTTCCCCTTTTTTCATCAAAAAACCATATGATCCCTTCGGTCTCCATTTCTAGAGCGTTGCTGAGTTGTGGCGACGTTGTCGGCATCGACGTCGAAAACATGAAGGTCTTCACAAGGAGTACACGGACTAGACTCGAGGCTAAGCGGAGCGCGAAAACAGGCGTTTGTGTACGAGTTTTACCGCATAGATCTATGCATTTGCCGTATTAGGTACTGAGTAAAGTATGGAGAGAGTCTAAAACTCCATTATGTGGGGGAAACTGAGTAGGAGAGTTGAGAAGTGAAGAAATAGTGTTGGTTACAGTCTCTCCGTCTTTGCAAAAGACGTTAGTCATGCTACAATGCGGCGAAATCTCGGAGCGCAGTTTCTTCTTTTCCACTTCGTTTGAAGGCCAGGTTCAGGCAAAATGTGCACTTTCACGCGTGCAAATAGCGAACAGCTGAGCGATTTTGAAGAGTTTTCGCAGTTCGTTTACACTGCCCGCGCGCGCGCCACGAGCGCGCAGAGCGCAATTTCGATCAGCTGCTCCAGCGAAACTGCAAAAAAATTTTTGAAGAGAAAAACAAAATACAAAGGAAAGTGAAGAGCTGATTGGGGAGAAACGACAAGAGAGCGCGAATATCTCTAGAATTGCTACTTAAATCGAAAAATGGCGAAATTTCAGGTTTTCGATAATTTTCGGGCGAGTTTTTTTGCTAGATTTTTTGTCCGTGACAGCACACAAAGTACAGAATTGAACGAGCAAACGCGCTTCTTCTTGCCAAAAAAGAAGAGAAGAACGGGAAAAAATCGCCAAGGTCATCTCAAGTACAAGCGCACTTGAACGCACATGCATGACTGCATGCTCAGCCCCCCCCCCCTCCCCTAAAGGCCCCACACAGAAACTCGGCAAGTGTCGCCGCTCTCTGCAGTGTTTATAGAGTTTAATGTAGCTTTTTCTACTCCGCACAAGCCCGAGTGCAAAGCGCTTTTCGGACATTGTGCACTTTAAGCATAAAAGAGTGCATTCAGGAGAATAACGAGGCACAGGCAGAGAGTTGCAGAGGCAGAGAAATCGAAATAATTAAGCAATAACAAAAGTGCTTCGACAGGACTACAGTGCTTTCGCGAGACCGCTGAACGGGGGCTATTTTGGGGCATTGAGATAAAGGTAACGCGGCTAGTGAGCACTGTGTTATGCTAAAGGACTAAGTAAGTTCGCTTGCTAATTTAAACGAAAGGTAAAAAGGGTAACGGGCAATTGTATCGCGCGCTCGCGCAAGAGGTATTGTAAAGACTGCAAGTGCACTTGACTTTATCAAAGTTGAGCAAACAGGTGTTTAAGAGTGGAGAGGAGATGAAATTCGAAGTCAGAAAAATTTGCCCTTAAGTTTACCACCAAACTGCAAAGAGAGTTTCGAAAATCTGAAAATAGATTTTCAGAGAAAAATTGTACTTCACTCGCTTGGCTCCCACTCAAAATTGTTACATGCACACAAAAAAGAAACAATTCAATATGTTTTGCTATCAAAAATAGAGGCTTCAAAAAAGCGGGGGGGGGGGGGGAGGGAGGGGGAGAAGCAGGAATTCCAGTTCCGTATTGACAGTGTGTGGTTCCAATAAAGTCACGTCATCTGCAATCACGTAACATCCGCGCTTGCACGCGTGCAGCTGACGCGACATGGATAAAGGAATATTTTCCTCTTTGTGAAGTTCTAAAAATATGAAAGTAAATCTGTATGCTAAGACATACAGTCGATGAGGTTTCCATTCAAATTTGACACATAAAAAACTTTTTGAAGGATTTAAAAAGCTTCAACATCGAAAAATTTTGGAGCTGATTGCTATAAAACATGGAATGCCTAATTTCTGGCGATTTTAAATGCACAGATAGCTGAAGATCTTTTACAATTTTTTACGTTCAATTGAAAATTTGTGCAACTGCGTACAATAGGTCAAGATCAAGCGGATCTATTTACTATAGGATTATGGAATGACGAACTAGAGGGCAATACATATTTCGCATGCTTACACGAATAAACTTGTTCTTCCCTTCACTTTATAAAAGCAAACATGTAAAACGAGGAGGAGCACAAGTTTCAACTCGTTAAAAGTAAGCGGAATGGTCCAAGTCTTCAATCTCCATAAAAGCTCGATACACCACTGGAATTACGCGAAATTGCGGACTTCGGCCAAGTAATTATGTAAGATCGGGTAATGCGATTTGACGCTGTAAAACTTGGAACTTATAGGCTTCAACATGCAAAATTAATGGCAAAATTGCAAAGTTCCGGACTTTGACCGATCACATCACTAAAAGCAAGCTTTTTATGCATAACTACGACAATTTGCGGACTTTAACCCAATTTTATTAGAGCTGAGGCTAACAGTGAAAAGGCATAGAAGGATTATAAACTCAAAGAGAGAAACCAAACCAGCAAACCGTCACACGTGCGCGCATGGTCTTCTTCTGAGCGTACAGCTGGGGCGTGGCGACGCGAGCGCACACCGCGACGACGTCGGAGCCAACGACGATGGCTTGCGTCGTTCGCGTCGGCGCGTTAGTCCCACCCACTGGTTGTACTCCTACGATGCTGCTGGCGTCCACATGCGCTAGTGTCGCGTAAACATGCCCTTTGCACTGTTTTTCATCCGCCCGCCTCCCCCCGTCCAGCGGACTCTGCGGGCCAGCCGCCCGTTTTTTTCGCCGGCGACGCGCCGAGAAAAACTGATCTCTGTCCGAACGCGGCTCGCACACACACAACACACACATGCACGCCACGCACACGCACATTTGCGGCCACAACAACATGCAGAACTACAGCGCTAGTGCGAAGCCGTTTAATCCGTCTTATGCCAGAGATCCACGGCATTCGTCACGGCCGAGATTTCGAAACGTAAACTTTCTAGCGATCTTCGCCATTCGAAATTCGAAAGTTTACCCTCAAGCACTTTCCAGCCGCTTACTCCAAACTGGCTAAATTGTTGTTCTCACTGCATGTTTTCGCCCCCTAAAAATGCAAGTGCACGACGAACAATACAAAGAATGGGACAGGTAGAGATAGGACTATTTTCGAAAGTTCCTTTTAACAATTTTACTGCAATAAATATTTGAATGCACGTGCAAAACATGAGTAATCAAATTATATTTGAGGATGAAATGAACTGCAAAGGTACGTTGTGTCATCACTATGATTTTTGATACATTACAATACCTTGTTTTTAGTACAAGTTTAACAATTCAGTACAATTCTACCTGTTGCTAGATTTGGCAGCCACCCTCTATACACATCGCAAATTCTTGCAGACAGTGGGTGCAAATATGATGACCAAATATGAGCATTCTACTTTTGAACTGCCGAATCTGAAGTGTTCAAGGAAAGTAGTTGGTTGTTGAACTGTGAAATTTTTATGGCCAATAGAAATTTACGAAAGCAGTGATGGGGAAACTCATGGTTCAAAACTGGAAACTAGTTCCGCATATGTGATGGAACTGAACCTCACATATACATCA